AGGAATAAAACAATTAAATCCCTAACTATTACAATTTTGGCATTCGAGTGCCTCCCCAAATGACGAAATTGAACTAAAATTAAAGCAAAACTAAGCAACTGAAGAAATAAATAAGGTAAAAATGAAATAAACACTTAAAGTCATGCAATTGCACACATAAAACACATATATGCACGTAGGGTCAAATAAAGTCAAGAAATGAAGGATAGAGTATACCTCCCTTGAGTTGGAGCTCTAATGGGGTGAAATGACTTATTTACCCTCCAAAAATAGAGAAAATGTCAAGGCACCAATTTAATTTGAAACAATTAAAGAAAAATATGCAAATACAAACTCTCTTGATCATAAAACTCTTAAAATCATGAATTAAGTGCAATTTAAACAAAGTATGGTAGTTAATTGAAGCAAACAAGCAATGAAGTTGTAAAATTAAAACTACCAAGGACCAAATTGAGGAGATTATTCAATTGATTGGGTCATAGCAGCACTAGTTGGAAGCCAACGGGTCAAAGTGAAATTATTGAAATTTTCCATGCACACTCCATGCAAGTAACGTAGGAAAACATTTCACAACAAAGCTTCAGCAACTGATGAAGCTCTCGGCAAGGCTTTGTTGCATATTTTCATGCACAAGGTTCCGCAATTTCAGCAAAGCAGATTCATACAATAGCTTTAAATTACTCCAATTAAACATGGCTGGACATCCCTTAACAATGCCAAAAATTGAAAGAGTTTCATGTAAAATTTCATGCAAATTGTTTACGAAGATGGTTTCTGCAACACTTGCTGCATTTTATTTTCGGCACTTCAAACCCAAAAACCACAATTTCGATCCAAATCCTTTCAGCCAGGCAACAAAACTTTGGCTAAACAACAAGACTCATGACTTCAAATATCCAACACGAGCCAAAACACAGAAAGGAAATCACGCCAAAAGCTGGAGAAAATTGTGCAGAAATGATTCAGCCATCATGATTTGTGTCCCTTCGGCAAGCATTCGATCATGGCTTAAACATTTTTTTTAGACCCCAAACACACAAACCCGACACCAAATCATTCCATTCCTTGCCCTTTACACCAGATTAGACATGCAACTTAAGTGTAAAGACTCGATGATCAGCCATGGAAAAGAAAACAGAACAGAAAATGCAATTTCTTTTGTTCTTGGCTGCGGAATTTTTGCAGCTATGAGTTTGTGTAGATTAAATACAGAAACATTGCATAAGACTCACCATTCATCCACCAAACGCACACACATTTTCCAAACATCAAATTTAACAGTGAGGAAGCAAAAACAATGCAGCGAAGAAAGCATCGACGTTCACTCGAGATGTCGAATCAAAAACATCCGAGGAAACAATTCGATCTTCGGACCATGAAGCAAATAAAGAACTAGACATCTACACAGGGAGTTCCGAGATAAACAACATGCAACCATGAAGGGTCATGCTCATAATATGCCAATGGAACGACAGAGATCAATTCCAGACTTTGAGCAAGTCAAGAACCCCTCAGCGACAAAGGAAAAGGCCGCTGCTGCAACAAGATAAAGAACTTCAATTTGTTGCAGTAATTCTCGGCTCCTCATACCAGTTCTAATATATGTAACCCAAACTGACCCAAGTCAAACCCAACTCATTCAAACACGACATGCGAGGACTTGAAACCATGAAAAGAGTAAAATCCGGCAAGCTTTCGGTCACACCAATGCAACAAAATGACTTGAGTGTCTGCTAAACTTGGTCCCAAAAATCCTAGTCAAAACAGCACATACAACAAACGCCAAACAAAGCACAGCTTCAGTCATCATGGATCAAAACAATAAAGCCAGACTCAGAACAAAGGATAGCCAAGACCATCAGTTTCACGACCCTTTCGAATCCATATTTGCTACTCTTTCACACAAGCCCCAAGCCAATCAAAATTCGATTTTTGGGGCCATCAGGGATCAACGAAGTAGAAAAAAAAAAGCGGATGACATCCATTTCCCCCTTTTTTTAAAAAAAAAACTGATCTTCACAAATTCTCCATTACACTAGTTCAAAACACATGCAGCCACTTATAAACAGGAAAAAAAAATGAAATCTTTTGTGAACATGAAACGTAAAGGGAAGGAAAATAAGCAATGAAACTTCATAAGCAAAGGTCTTCAAGGGTCTGTGTTGAAAAAATTCTGGAATTTTAAAAGGAAGAGAAATACTTACAGTGATGGAACTTTCTCGGCGAAGACTGCAGCGGTCGTGAAGTTGCTCCAATGGCTCCTTTGCTCTTCAAGGAAAAGCACCCGACCAGATTTTTCTTCTCTCGCCATTGCTCTCTCGCTCACCCTCTCAATCTTTCCTGTTTTTGCTTCTTTCCCAGCTTTTCCTTTTTTAACCTAGCCCAAACTCTCTCTCAAAACCTAGCCTTTTCTTGCCCATCTGTTTTTCCTTTTTTTGATTCTCAGCCGTCACCCCCAAAAGTCTCTCTCTCCTCTCTTCTCACGGCCTTCCTCTGCTTAGCACTCCCCCTCTCTGGTTTCTTTTCCAATCTCTTTTCCCAGCCGTTCTCTCCTTTTTTTTCTTTTTTATGTCTTTGCTCAGCCTTTATATGAGACACTCACTCCCGAAACCTAGCATCTAAGGCTCGGAAGAACTCCCCTTTTTTTGTATTTTTTACAGCCTTAGATCTTCATAGTTTCTGATAAACCTTGGATCAAGCCAAGTGTTTTCTATTGAGATTATCAGACGGAGGAGAAAAAATGAAAACAAAGGAGCTTAACAAAATATTGCAAAGCCGAAGAAATTGCAGAACTGTCCGCTGTTTTTGTTTTTCGCCTGGAAATATAATATGAAGGAATGGGCTCGGATCCTGTGTGGCTCCTGGTGCATGAGCTTCTTTTTTTTTTTTAATTTTTCCTAAAAAAAATTCATTTTTAGGTGACTTGGTACACCTTAACTCTATACCAAGTGGCGACTCCATTTTTCATTCAATAAACCCTTTTTAAACTATATTTTGGGTCAAATCGTCGCATTTTCATGTCCCATTTAGACCCATGTTTTTCTTCATTTTCTTTGTAAATCAAAAATTCACTTTTCAAATCAAAAATTTACTTTTTTTTAAATCATTTATTTTTCTTATAAAAAATGGGGCGCGACAATCAGAAAATTGGTATTTATGCTAATCGTACATTAGATTTGATGAAATGTAATAATCAAAGAGTTTTTGTGAGATTTTTGCTTCTTATACACACCAGTTTTTTGTTAAACAACATGTAAATTTTGTTTTGAGTATTTAATTGTAGTCTTGAGCAAATAAAATATAGTTATGTATCACTTTTCAACAAAACTTGAATCATGTTAGATGAAACATATAATTTGGAGCTCTTATAAGAAAGACAGTAGCAGTGATGATTAAATTCTAAATCAGACTGAACACTTGATAACCATTGAAAACTAGATCATGTAAGAACAAAAGAAATGCTGATTCTATAATGAAGAAAATAGAAAAATAATCTATCGAATCATTGAATGTTAAAGATAAAATAATTATGAACTGACTACTACATTTTTTAATGAGAAAATGAGTACAATTGCTTCTAAAAGTAATTAAATGAGAGTATATATTGTCTGTGGCCGAGAGGATAAGTATCACTTTACCTATTAATCACATAAAATTACTAAAAAAATTTCAACATCAGGTAAACCAAAGAAAGAACTCAAAAATTAAGGTTGGACAGATAAGGTTGGACAGTTTATTATTAAGATATCTTAAATAGCTTTTACTACTTAACAGACATGCCATACCAAAACAAAAGAAGAGGTAATAAAAAAAAGGCTATAAGAAAAAAAGTCTTTTCGATTTCGATCTTTCTTCTTCAATTCTATTTTTTAAGGCAAACATGACAAAAGGTTAAAAAATCCAGTATTTAGATTCAAGATAAACATATGCGCCATACGTGCATATTATTAGTATCTACATTAAAAAAAAGGTGTTTTAGTACTATAAATTGAAACGGACCCTGTAATATCTATGGTCAAATTTGAGGATCCCTTGAGTTGAAACCTTGCACACACCTAGAGCTAGAGGTACCACAACAAAATCAGTATTCAATAAGATATTAAACTCTTAAAATTTCAAAGAAAATTTTGAATCTAAATTCCTAAAATAGGTACCTTGTTTGGCACTTCAATTTTTTACCAAGTTTGTCTGTTACAAAATTTTTAAAAACTTTAGTTACGGTAACCTCAAAAAACTTTTCAAAAATTTTAAATTATACACTTCAGAATATTCAACATTTACACACTTCAAATTTTTTTTTAAAAAACTTCTACGGTAAATTACAGTAAAATTTTAGATAAACACCCAAAAAAACTCACTTGTCAAACGAGGTCCTATGCTTAGTCCAAGTTGCTTGATAGTATCTCGTGACAGCTCGAGCAAAACTTTGAAATTTGAAATTTGATGGGATATAAAGATAACATCCAATAATATCCTACTACATAGTAAGGGCCACTCATTAATGACTTAATCGTTCAAACAGCTTAGAGCTACCCGCTTGATTCAACTAAAGTTAACAGCATTTGAACATCTTTCACACATTCCTACTTTCTCATCCTGGTTTCAATTCCAATCTCTTTTGTATGACAAATTTTGTATACCTGTATCAATCCCGACTTTCACCACATAATTTGTAATTGCATCTCAAAATTGTTATGAATTCTTCAAAATTATTGGTGCATTTTCAAATTCAACCGCTGAAATATGCTCTTTTCTATATTGGGAAACTATCAATCTCACTATATATTTACATGAAACTCTTTCATGAGTCATATTACACCGACATAGAATTCTTTTAATCTCACTCTGTAATAATTTTTTTTTTTTTTTGAAATGGCAGAAGTTTTCACTCTAATATATTCACATGAAACTCTTCCACAGACCATGAAACAACTACTAAAATTTTCAGCATTTAACCCAGCACTTCATTATAGAGGTCCTCATTCCTATTGCACGCCTCAGTTAGTTCTGTCCGGGCAAAAACTGAAGCTGTTCTAGGATGTAGCAGGCACACGACATGACTGCCTCCTCGGCCTGCCTATATTTCAGTTATCAAACCTGGCCTGCAAGTAAAGAATGGAAGTCAAGATACCCCATCTAACTCCAGCGCCTCAACAAAGAATTCTGACACCTCCCAAAAGAATCCGCTTTCCACCCAACAAACCAACCTTTAAAAAAATTGTCACAGTGCCGACTTCTTCTGCATCCAATTCCTCAATTCAAATTCATCTTCCTCTTCGACGACCCCAACACAAATCCACCCAGAAAACCGAAAAAAATTCGAATGATTGTAAACCCAGCAATTGTTCTACTGTGTCAGACGTTTTAGGCTTGTTGGACTGCCTTAAAATCCCCGTTTCTCTCGACCTTTATGCTTCATTTATCGATGAATGTACAAAGAGTGGTGACCCCTTACTAGCAATTGAACTCCATAACCATATTAAGACGAGTTGTCTACGCCCTTCGTTGTCGATATTTAATCGCCTGCTGTTGATGTATGTTTCGTGTAACTTGATTGGATATGCACGGGAACTGTTTGATAAAATGACTGTGAGAAGTTCTTGTACTTGGGCTGTAATGGTTGCTGGGTATTTCGAAAATGGTGATTATGGGGAGGTTATTGATCTGTTTTTGGAAATGCAGTGCTCGGAGCGAGCTAAAGTTGATGGTGATATGGATGACATAGTGGCTTCTGCTATAGTTGTGTGTGTTCTTAAGGCTTGTGCTAAAACAGTGAATATGGAACTTGGCAAACAGGTACACGCTTGGGTTGTGAAGATGGGTTATGGCGAGAATCTGGTTTTCAGTGGCTCTTTAATGCGCTTTTATGGGAAAGCAGGGTTTCTAGAAGGTTCTGACTGTGTTTTTTATCAGGTTCCAAATCGGAATAAGGTGATATGGACAACTAAGATTGTTAATCATTGCTACGAGGAGCAGTTTGATGAGGCATTTGATGTGTTTAAACAAATGGGGAGGGAGGGTGTAAAGAAGAATAGTTATACTTTTTCAAGTGTTCTTAAAGCATGTGCGAGTATGAGGGATGGCGGATGTTGTGGTCAGCAAGTACATGCAAATGTCGTCAAGTTAGGACTGGAGCTTAATGAGCATGTACAGTGTGGGTTGGTTAACATGTATGGTAAAGGTGGGTTAATAAAGGATGCGCAGAAAGTTTTCAAGATTTGTGGGAACAATAGAAGTGGTGCTTGCTGGAATGCAATGCTTACTGGTTATATACAACAAGGGCTTGGCATTGAAGCCTTTAGAATCATATGTGATATGAAGGCAGCCGGCTTGCAACCCCAAGAATCATTACTCAATGAAGTGAGGTTCATTTGTGGGAGTAGTTTGATTGAGAATACAAAATGATAGATATGATTACTAGAGTGATGATTGCTATTGGTTTTTGAAAGCAGATTAGAATCCTGCTTTGCACATATTTATATCAAGCTAATGACTTTATTGTAGCATATCATAGCCGGACTATTGATGGAAGATGTTTTCTGATTCCTACTGATATTCTCTGAAGAGGATTTGAATACTATCTCCCTGAAAGATATCCCATGCAACTAGCACAAACATGTGCAGAGTGTCTTGCCTAACTTTCATCGACTTTAGTGGGACGTGAATCCGCTTATTTACATGTAGATATATGGAAATTTCTGTTCAAGTACCATAGTCATTTCCTTTATGGGTTAGTTTACAGACACATCATCACTGTAGAGACTGACGTAGTGATTGGATCAAAGCAATGAACTGCTCAATTTTGACTGATGCAGGGTCTAGAAGCTTCTATGTCTGCCCGTAAAATGGTGTGGGCTGCCACACTTGGGTAGCTTTCTTCTTTTCCTTTAAGCACCTTTGATATATAGACTGGCAAAATTACTCGGTGTAAAATTTGTTTGTACATGGTTGTTGTAGTTGTGCTGCTAAAACATAATACTGATGCCAGAGTTTAGTTATCTTTGTTGTTTGTGCTCCTGTACCCCAATTCAACCACTTTCTATGTGTGAAGCAAGAGTCAGCAAATGCTCACTCAATGTGATTCCTCTACAAAAGTGCTCTCTAAGTGGCTATGCCGCTCTTCTTATTTGTCAAGAATTTTTTGTCTACAATTATCTAGATCAATTAGGATTAGGCCAAGGTAGTTGATCCAGATACTTGTAAAATTCCTCCATGACCATTTCCGCCCTTCAGATTGCTGCATAAGAACAGTTTACCAATGTTTAGATGTGGCAGGATCTACAAAACACCTTATTACTGAGAATAAAGATACAGTCTGGGTATTTGAATGTCTGTCCAGATCTATTGTGTAACTTTTTAAAGTAACATTTATACCTTCATTGATTTTCCCTTTCATTTCTACACATTGTACTGGTATGCTTTTTTCCTGAATTTGGAGATGAATTAAGCAGCCCAATCATTCAGCAACTTTGTTTCTGAGTGTTTCTGCATTCAGTAAGAATGATAAGAAAATTCACCAGAGCGCTACCAAGCTAGTTGAATCTTCCTTATTTTTTGAGCATGTTTGCACCATTCTGCATTTATTTAATGATGAGTGTAGCCTGTCTGTATTTGTTGGTCGATCTTTCTGCAAGGGAAGGCCTACAATTAAAAGGACAGTTCTAAGTACTTTGATATTGAAATCTGGTTGATTAGCCAAGGTACTGGCATTTGCATTTTAGTTGTTTTTTTCCCTGTAGCATATTGGTGAATTTACATTGGGACTTGAGGATCCAGTGCAAGTATATGCTATGCTATAGCCCATATCCTTACCATTCAACTGGAGAAAAAGAGGATAACCATCAGGAAAGCAGATAGAATTGCTAACTAAATTAAGGTGACTAATCTCTGGGTATTTTGAAAGGAAGTAAGGAACCAAGCAGAAAAGTTGTTTAAGAGTTCCTTGTGTTCTTTGTTGGAAGAGAACTCACTCTTGTGTTTTATTTGATCTTTTCACTATTAGATTTAGTGAAATATGAAATTACATCCTAGCAACTTGTATTTATTCCTGTGTTCTTCTTGGGAATATCTTATTTTCTCTAAATGGTATTTGGTCAAATATTGCGGACGGCTTTATGATCTGTACCAGTTATGATGGTAAAGTATTTCTGCGCTTAAACAATTAGCAGCTTCTGATGCAGGACTCTGTTGATAGCAGTGACTTTAGCAACTTTCATGAGTAGCATCTATCACTCTTGCTTTTAGAGAGCCTAGCTGCAGGAGCATATCGGGGCCTTGGCCACCTGGGAACCCATCAACACCATTGGTAAGCAACTTGTTGGCTGTTCAACAAGCTGCTGCAAGGAATACTGCAATTCCTGAACAAAATTCAACAGAGACTAAGACTTCCAACTTGGTAGGACTGCAAACTACTGCTCATGCTACCCTGAGAGCTGAAATATCTTCATCCAACTTGCCAGTGCCCACGCCACCATCTCAAACTTCTGCAATGCTGGTTATTGCCCATTCTTCAGTTATCTCGCGAACTGGGACCAACGCTGCATATTCCCCATCTTCGCGGAAACTAGCAATGACCGATTCCTCTGAGACCCTATCAGGACCATACCATCCATCAGTGCTTTCAACCAGTCATTGGAGGCCACTCTATCCCAAACATCTGTTTGTCAGAAAACTTCAATGTGGGACGTGGAGTAAGGGCACCTGCTGCACATCTACGACACAATATATGCTTCAGTAGTTGTACATCCAGAGTCCAGCCCTAGATGACCATAACTTCAGTCATCAATAAGGTGTCACCATTCAGCGTGCAGGTGACATGATTTGTGCTCAATAGACCCCAGAATTGCTGAAATGCTATATCTGAATCACCTGGTAGGATTATCCATCGGTGAGACTGGGGGGTTGTCCAATGAATGATGAATCCTTGGTGGATTTAGGTTAAGATTTGTAGGGATTCTTTCATAAGATAATCACTGTTGCTTCTGTGCTTTCTTTTTGGGCACCGGATTAATTTTTTGCTTCTCTAGGTGGGTGGTCATTGATGTCTTGCTCACTAAAAAGAATACACGAGGAAGGAAGCGCAACGCAATTTACTTTTGTTGCTGCTTATCTAATTCCTTGTTTATCTGCATTGGTCGCCGATTGGAATATTCATGGCAAGACAAGTCAAAACAAGCATTCCAGACAAGAGTTGTCCATTGCCTGGAAACCTGATATTTTATGATGCTTAATCCTTAAGGTGCTTATTGGTTAAGGACTAATATTCCTGCTGATTGCCAACTTATGGCTTAAGCTCCTTGGCGACGTGGAGGCAACAACAATCAATTGTCATACAGAATATACTAGCAGAAATATACAGTGCTTAAGCACGGTGAAGAATTAATGTAATGCCCACCAGGAGCATTACAGAATATGAATTTAATAAAGTAGTATAATTTGTAATTGCAGTATGTTGTGTAAAAATTAGGGGAGATAATTATAAAGATGAAAAAAAGGATACACAAGCCATTAATTCAAACGATACCGCCGTTTGAATCAAGAAGGCAAAAGTTAGTAGAAATGTTTTTTTTACCATGTATAAATTAATGATATGGAGAACTTGGCATTAATTAAAAAGTGGATAATTAAGGTAGAATGTAATAAACGTAATTTTTTGTTCCACCGTCAGGGTAGCAGATTTTTAAAAAATTGTAGGGAATTAAAGTGGACAGATAACTGTCTGCATGCAAAATAATTTCCTGTAACTAATAGAATTAAAGAGAATTAATTTGGGTGAAATTTCCCAAATGGTTGAAATAAATGTGCGGCACGTTTTAGATAAATTGCTAAGGGAAATTTGGTATGGGAAAAAAAGGACAATAAAAGCTGGCATTCATATGCTTAGTGAACATATAAGAAGGACAACGTTTCTCCTAGAACAAATGTAAAAGAAGCTGGCTAAGTTCTACTGGTTGGTGCATCAGGGAAGATGCAGAACTTGTTGTACCAAGGGAATAGCTTTTCGACTCCACGCTTGTCGAAGATTAGGACAGTATAGCAGAACTCTGTTTCAGGGATAAATACTAAAGCGTCGCCAAATTGTAGCTGATGCTCAAAACAAAAAGTGTTCCAATTTGTTGTAAACTGTCTTTGACGCATTCCAAGAGTGATTGTCTTGTTTCCAGTTCTTAGGGTGATCAGAGGAGCTTTGTCACCATGTATGAAGAAGGATACAAATTTGGGCACTTTCTGTTGCTCAAGGAAAGGAAAAATTATCAGTGGGAAAGAAAGCAGTGAATGAAAAAATAGAACAGGAGATAACTGAAGCACACAAAATGATGTTGGTTTTGCTCAGTGAAGATCTCACAGAATGATAGACCATTAGCGAGGTCTTGAACGAAATCTGGTTTCATTGCCGATGCTATTTTCTGACACTGCATTCTTTGTTCTGTGTATAATAAAAAAAGGTAAGTGTACAAAGCTGACAAATAAAACAAGAACGATGCTAAAAATCTGGAAGTGTTTAAGCATGAGAAAAACTAACTTTTTAGGATAACATGCTCTGGAGTATCTAACAGACTAGGTAGTGGATGAGTACAAGGTAAGTAGTCATGCGTTTTTGTTGCTGAGTAATGGAGCACGTCGAACATCAAGTTTCCAGAATGTCGAAGGAACATTGTGTCATCTTCTCGGATGATATTATTCTCGCAGAAGTCTTGCCAGCCTTCTCCAAACCAACTTTCTAAAATGCTGATAGTCCATGTTCTATAGCCTTCTCGAATAGTTATGGTACGTTGTTGGTGGTTTCTTAGAAGCAGCAGAAATTGAGCAGGGAAGATGTAATTATTTTGAAAATCTTTGGTTATAACCAAAGAAATCATATGGCACGAGGAAGCAAAACTATATAGAAGCAAAATTACCTGCTTAGAACTGCTACTCCTAAAGAAGAAGCAGCATTCCGTCCTGCCAGTAATATCTGGTGGAAGACTGGAGGATCCAACGCTTTCAGAGAACTCCATGTTTGTTTGTTATTATTATTATAACTATAATGGCCTTCTGAGGCTGTAGATTTTAGTAGGTTGTTCTTGTCATATATATACAGGTTCCATAACAAGAAAAGGCAGCAATAACTAGTTTGTAAAAGTATCTGGTAACCAGTGAATTCATTTAAAGTGGTTGAACTAATAGCTGTAAGATCATTAATGAATGCAGAAAGGCAATCTTGGAAAGGGTCAATGCGGTTTGATGTTTGGAGGCAACAGTTAATTCATGGTACATCATTTCACATTATTTCATGGCACATTATTTCAGAAGAAATGGACTGGAAAGTGAAAGCTTTGATAAAAATATTGAATGGGAAAAAGTGTTGCTGTTGGCAATAAATGTTAGTTTCAAACAGCATGAAGGCACGCAGAATATGCTACTTTGAAACTAAGTTGCAAAAGGCATTTAGATTAGTAGGCAATGCTTAACAGTGTGCATAGATACATACTTCAGCCGCATGGATATTTCGTAGCATTTCATAGGCACATTAGCAGCATGACAGTGCTAAAAAAATGTGCTAAAAAATGACAGATAACAGAGAGTCTTTAACGACCCCACTTCCCCCTAAGGCGAACCAAAGGGTTGGCAGGCCGTCTGCCCAGCTCTCGCCAGGACTCACGCAAGCATTCTAACCCAAAACCTTCCGACGATTAACCTAAGCTATTACAAAAATGATTCTTCCGAAATAAATCGATTTCTATCACCACATTAATTTCAAAGATAACAGCATATAACTTAGCCAATCGACGGCTCTTAAACACTTCGCGCGTCGCTCGCAAGGGTTAAGGACATACTATACCAATACAACATACATACCGAATATTAGAATTAGGGATTACACTTTTCCAGCTTCAAGTGGCAATCCAAAATGAAAGGTACAATACTTAGCTCAGAAGTCATTACAAACCGAAAATTAAATTCAAGTTGTTCAAGTACAACCATAGGAAATATAAGCTGCTCAAATACTTTCAAACTTCCCATCCTGTAAGGAAAACAAATAAACATGGGGTGAGCTAAAGCTCAGTGGTGCCCCAAAACATGCAATCACATAAGGCAAGTAACGAGTATTTAAATTTCACACTTAAGAAAAGCAGGTAACAGCACAAGGTAGGATACAGGGGCTCTCAGGAGCCATTTGCCTCGCTTGATCAAAAGTTATCGTAGCTGACCCTCCGTCAACTCTCACTACTTATAGTCCATGTAGATTCTCTCATTTTTACTCCCAACCCGTCACCGTACGTACCCCTGTCCCGGGCCCGAGCACCGACTAAGGAAGCAGTATATTCGAGATATACCCTTAGAAAATTGGGAGCAGTATACGTGAGTATACCCTCAGGAATTGGTCGAGGGATTCACCCAGTGACGTTATGTCCAACACGTGGTTACTAGGTCAGGATAAGAGGCCCTCCCACCTTTAAGGTGTGGTACATTCCCCTGCCTAGTGATTTAGTACTTGAGATAGGATAAGAGGCCCTCCCACTCTCAGGTGTGGTACATTCCCCTACTCAGTACTTAGCACATGAGATAGGATAAGAGGCCCTCCCACCCTCAGGTGTGGTACATTCCCCTACTCAGTGCTTAGCAAGTATTCCAAGGTTTTAGCAATTGAGATAGGATAAGAGGCCCTCCCACCCTCAGGTGTGGTACATTCCCCTACTCAATGCTTAGCAAGTGCAAGCAGGATATTTCACGAAAACATTTCAAGCAAGTCACCACTCGAACGGCTAATGTGGTAAAGTACACGTAGCTCACTTCGATGGATCAAAACCATATTTCCAAATATCACGTATCAAGCCGAGAAAGCGCATTAATCAGGTAAGCATAGAACAGGCAGGGACACTCACCAAAAGTGAAGCTCACAAGTCAAGCTGGGAATCAAAGTCTGCGTCCTCGTTAAACCCTAGAAATCCAAGTTTTAAAAACTATAAGTTTTACTAAACAAACCCTTGTTTTATATATAAAAGGTTATCTTATATAAACTAATCTAATTTTTTTCGAAACAAGTCAATAAATTTCTAAAAATCAAAGCTAGAAAAGGAATAGAGTGTTTCGTGTAGTTTCTTTAAAAGTATTTCCCCTCTAGAGGCAAACTAGAACCAGATTGGTTCAAACGGGTTTTCTTGCTGAATAAGTTTTCTATGCCTTTTATTTGAAATTATTCAAATCTAATATTTTTTTTTTCAAATTTCCTTTAAAACAACTAGTCAAGAATAGTTTTATGGAACTTAAGTTTAAAAGTTAAATACAATTACTCCCTAAAGGTAATGAAACTAGCTTAAGCAAAATAAAAGAATTAACTAGTCGGCAAGGTTTTAAAAGTCCCAATATCTAACTTTTTAATAATACATACTAACCTCAAATTCTATCACTTGATATTAAAGCTGAGTATTCCCACGGAATTTGATTTTGAAAGTATTCAAGTTCAAGAAAACCAAAACGGTCTTTACAATTCTAGCTCATTTGCACAATGGATTCCCAAGTCACCAAGATTGAAACATTACGAACCAAATATCAATTTCACTAGGGCTTCATCAATCATTAGCCCTAGGTCTCAACAAATCCAGTACAATTAAAATTCAACAAAGGAAATCCAAGGTACTAAAGCAATCCCAAATCATAACCCATGGACCTTCCAAGTACATTCAAAACAAGAATAAAACTACAGCCAACTTGAGTTCCAAATGATTCTAAGAATTCAAATATCCATTAAACCTTCCACTTTTACTTGCAAGAATCACTATACATATAGTTTATAATCTGCTCAACTTAAACTGAAGCAAACAATACACAATCCAGAAAATAACTTACTAAAATCTTGAACTAGCATGACTCGCAACTATATACAAATTTCCAGCAAAGATATACCAAAAGTTTCAACAAGAGTTCCATCCTTAGCTTGCTTTAATCATTAGGCACTTAACATGCATTTGTCCAACATGGAACGAGTTAAATGATCAATG